GGGGGGGGGCACAGGCACAGAGGGTAGACGACGACGACGACGGCGTTGACGTCGTGAAAGGATACAAAAGCTTCTCCCCTCACTCAGCCTGTGAGGACAGGGAGTCCCATGCAGCCTCCCCCTTCCCTCCTCCTCCTCCGCCGCCGCCGCCGCCACACCACTCGCCGCAGCCACTCAAAGGTCCGCTAAGCCCACCTTAATGAGCGCTGCTTAGGGGAGGAAAAAAGAGTCCAATTATCTGTCCACGCCGCCGCCGCCGAGGGCCCCAAAGGACAAAGTGGAGGACGGCGCCCGGCCCCGCCCCCTGCCGCTTCCCCACCTCAGACATCCTTAAGGCGGCCCCGGGCCCGGGCGCGGGGCTCGGATGATTAGAAACACGCAGCAATATAACAACAGCGGGTGTGCAAGCCAAGCAGGCGGGCATCCAGGCGGGGATAACGCGCGCGGAGGGCCGGAACTCTCCCTCTCCCTACCTCTCTCTCTCGCACCCGCGGAGCCACTCGCTGAGCTGCCCCCTATGCCCTTCTCTCTCGCACCCCATCGCGGGGGTGGTGGCGCCTCCGCGCGCGGGCCGCACCGCGCTCTGCTAACGTGTTGGGCCGCTTTGATGTGGCTTTGCTATAAGGGGCTCGGCTGGTCTCTTGTCGGACGGTGATCCGCGAGCAAGCTCCTCCAGCCGGGGCGCGGCGCGTGTAATTCACAGAAAGGAGGAAGACGGAGAGAGGTAGAGAGAGAGAGGGGTGAGGGGAGGGGGGCTGGATGGAAGGGGTTTTTCATCAAAAGAAGTATAGCCGCGGAAGGAAAACACCCCCCGACAGCAGTGCGGCGCAGCGACTAGACACGAGGGAGGCCACCCCATCTCTGTCCGCGAGCGAGCTCCTTGCCATCTCTCTCGCTCTCGCTCTCTCTCTCTTTCTCTGTCTCACGCGCGCGCACGCACGCGAGAAACACACACTCGTGATTTATCGTGCTTGTCGCCGGGCATTGTAGCAGGGCACGACGACGGCGACGGCGTGCGCGTCCGCGATCTCACGCGGGGACGGACGGGGAGGTCAGGGCGCTGCTGCTGGGGCCAGAGACACACACACACGCACACAGGGGCGCAACACACACACACACACACGTGCGTGTTCACTGGTGCACAGTAGACGACGATGCGCAAGAGTGCGGAAAATAATAACGAGCGGCTTGCCTACGCTCAGCGGCAGTGAGTGTCTGTCTCGCTCAGGCCGACTCCGCTGCCGGCCGCGGCCGCCCCTGCTGCTGCCTGTTCTCCTCTCCTACAAGTATAGCAGCGCTCCCTCCAGTATAAAGTGGTGGACGCGGATTGGTGACGGTGCCATGCGAAATACACCGGGTCTGAGGAGGACCCGGGCCGGCAGCAGAGCAGGCGGGTACGATGGGCACGTGACGCGTGGGCTGGGCGTGCCCGCGGTTGCCGGAGCAGGGAGGCGAGCACGCCGACGTCGTGTCACCGGTACTCACATCCAGCTGTGGCCGTGGTTGTAGGCCGTCCTCTCCCTGTCGCCACGCTCCGGCCGGTCGGGGCGCTCGGGACGCTCATGCCGCTCCAGCGGGCGCTCAAGCGGCCTGTCCAGCGGCCGGGCGCCCTCCTTGGTGACGTTGCCGACGACGGCGAGGGCGGGTCGTGGCTGCAGCAGGGCCGTCTGCAGCAGCAGCAGCGAGACGCAGGCCGCCGCCACGGCCGCCGACGTGGAGGCGGGGGCGGCGAGGGCGCCCACCATGCCCGTGGAGCGCACGCCGGCCGCCATCGGGGACGTGCAACAGCGGTGGCCTCGGGGGGCCTTCAGCAGCGCCGAGCGGCGGCCTCGCGGCCTCGGGCCCTGGGGGCCCTCATCATCACTGTAATCCACACGAGCACTGCACTGGCACTGCACTGGCACTGGTAATCCACACAGGCGTCGGCGTCGGCGTCGCGAGCAGCGCGGTGTACCTGGCGGACGCGGGTCCACACACTCACACACACTCACACACGGGGCCGATCTGACGCGACCAGAGGTTCGGCAGCGACTGACTCCACTCTCCACTCGGCCGCCGCACCGCGCCGCTCCTCTTGTCCGTAGCGCTCTGGAGAAGCGTGGCGGGGCGGGGAGCGGAGTCGGGGCGTGGCGGGGCGCGGCGGCGGGGAGGGGAAGGCCAGCCAACCCCTCTTCACGCAGGCGGCTCCACGGCGCGCCCGGGATCCTGCTGCCCCGCTCCCACCGCTCCCCTCCTCACAGTACCTGCCGCTCCTCCTCCCCGCCGCCGCTCCCGCTCCTTTGTCGCTCAGGGCCCTTCGCCGGCCCCGATACACACCGCGCCCTACACTCCGCTGCGGCCCTTATTTGTTGTTTTTAGCGGGCGAAAGGCATAATTTATAGGCGAGCCGAGTGGGCGGTTCGGTTTGGACAATGCACCGCCGCCGGGGGCCGCGGGGGAAGTCCTCTCCGGCGGGGAGGCGAGCGGAGGTGCGGCGCGCCCGGGCCCGGCCGGGGCCGCGCAATCTGCTGCAGGCTCTGCACGGCCACGGCCAGCACGGCAGGGCCGAGCGAGGAGCGCGCGTCGCTTCGTTTTACGACTTGGTGGTAGTGCCGCGCCGTGGCGGAGCAGGGCAGCGCAGCGCGGCCGACAAACGTGTGCGTAAACGTCAGTGCTCACGTCGACAAGCGCAGCGAGCGCGCGCGCGCCGTGCCCGGCCGAGGCTGGCCGTCCTGCGCGTCCCTCTCTATCTCCCTCACCGTCGTGTCTCACTTTGCTCTCCGGCAGGACCATCACGCCGCCGCCGACGACGACGATTTCATCAGAGCGCGCGCGGCAAAGGAGTGGCGGGGCGGGGTGGGTCGGGGCTGAGATCGCTTATTCGCAGCGCAGAGCGCTCAGGCAGTCCGGTTATTGGCAGCACACGTGAGCCTTCCGCAGCAGCAGCAGTGGAGCGGGCGGCGGCGCGGTGCTAATGATATCAGATTGTAGTATTGGATGTCGGGTCGCTAATATCAGTCCGCATCGGAGAGTGCTCCGGGGCGCGGTCTGGCGTGGCTGGGGCGTGGCGGGGCCGCGGGCTTACCGTGGAGCACTTACACGACCGCCATGACCGCGATGCAACAGTAGCGCAGCGCGCGGCCTCAAAGGGCTCGGGGCGGAGCCTATACACGCTGCGCTGCCCTGCCACGCAGCCCGAGGGCGTCGCCTCGTCGGCCAGGCGGTGCGCAGCGCTTGCAGCAGCAGCAAGACAAGATATCCGGGCAGGGCTGTTCAATGTTGCGTGAAGCTTTGTGCGCCTCGGTGCAACAAGGATGGCGATGATGATAATAACATTAATAGCAGCGGCGATGGGGCGGGGCGGGGCGCTGTACAGCCGCGCGGCGGATGCGTTCGAAATGCGCCATCCAATTTGGAGTACTCGGACGCCATTGCTATGAGCGAGCGGGATAAAAGGAAAGGGACTCCTCTCTCAGATCTGGCGCTCCCCGCGCTCGCGTGACCGGGATGAGTCAGGGGAGGCAGGCGGCGGCGGATGCTGGAGTGTGTGGACCCGCGGCCAAGCAGGTCCGGCGGGAGACCTCCTGCGCGCTCCCGCGCCGCGTCCCGCTAAGCGATGTTAATCCGATTGCTCCTGCTGATCATTCGATCCGGGCGCCGCCCTGCTTGGAGCGGGGCGCCGCCGCCGCGGGGTTCGATCCCCTCTTGCGCTCAAGTTCCCGCGCGCGGCTGCTGCGTCGCGGAGGACGCCATCGTCGCCGTCGTCGCCGCGCCGTGACTCTGATAGGGATAGAGAGATCCTGGACTAGGAAGTCAGTCCTCCCCGAGGGAGAGCAGTACACGAGCACCCTCGGCTCGCCCTCGGCCTGGGACAGACAGACAGCTGTCAGCGCCGGCCGAGTGAGAATGGCAATCAAACACAACACAAGCGTTGCGCAGCCGAGGGGAGCGTCCTCCCCCCGCCTCTCAGGTGACCGATGTCGCGTGGCGACCGCCGCCGCCGCCGGAGCACCCTCGGCGACAAAAGGACAAAACGGGGGGATGAGAGATTTGGTGGGTGTGGCCCGATCCGGGAACACGGAATCCGGGTGTCAAGTGACAAAGACAAGCTCCCTGAGCCTGCTGGACTCCTCCCCGCCCCTCCCCCGGCCAGGCCACGGCCACCCCGCGCCGCCGCCGCTGGTCAGGTCATCAGGTCCCTGGTCCCCCCCTGCAGGCGTCCCCCACATCGTTCCGGGGTGATGATGTTTCCAATACTGGCGGGCGGCGAGGCGAGGTGAGCGCTGATGCAGGAAATCGTTAACAAGTTACACGGAGTGAATTACTTGTCAAGGTCAACAACGGCCCTGGCCCGGACACACCAAAAGGCACCGACAGCCGTGTGAGTGTCTGGTTTTGTGTGTGTGTGTTTGTGTGAGTGTGTGTGTGTATGTGTGTGTGCGTGCGTGAACGCCGAAGGAGGACGGATCGGGACGGATGGGCGTAGCGACACGTCTGATTGAAACACATACACTTGTGGCGGAGATATCTGATATGTGAACGATAGAGAGAGAGGGTAAAGCGCAGCCCGAACGAGTGCGATAGAGAGACAGAAAAAAGTAGGAGGGAGGGGAGAGAGAGGGAGGGTGACGTCTTGTAAACCTCTCTCGCTCGCACTGGAACAGGTTTCCTTGGAGCCATCTCTCTCTCTCTCCCTGCCTCGTCTATCTCGGCCTCTCTCCGTCTTGGCCGCGGACGCCGCCCTCGCGCTGACACCCGTACGGATTGCTCGCCGTCGCGGAGCGCCGCGGACGCCGCGCTGACGGATTGGGAGGATAGCCGTGTATGTGTAATTGGAAGCAGCCGTGCGATTCCGGAGATCGTTCAAGAGGGGCTCTCCTATACCCCTGCCCTATGAGTGCAACAAGGACGGAGCTATACGGGAGGAATAGGAGAGCCTCTCTTGAACGATCTCCGGAATCGCACGGCAGGTACCGGAACGGCAGCGACGAGCGAGGGGACGAGAGATGGTTGCTGGGAATGGGGG